GGAGAAGAGAAAGTTACGCATAAAAATACCACCCTGTCGCCATCAGAACTCTACCTACAGGGTTTAAAGAAGTTTGTGGCCTCAGAATACAATGGCAAGTTGTTATTCCAACATTAAGGCAACAGATATGCAGGGAGGACAGACAGTCACAGCACGATGCAGGCCAGGACAAGACCTCACAAAAGACAAGTGTTGCAGGAGAGGGCGGCTGCGGTCAGGGAGCTGGGAGTAAAGACAGAGGTTACCGTGGTCTTTCTCTCTCTCGCTCAGTCTTTCAATTTGCTGTCTCGCAATTGTTCCCTCCTCTTCTCTCTCCCTTCATCCTTTCTCATATTGATTTTATTTTTTTCAAAACTCTGGAGAATAAGAGTCATGTGTGCGCCCAATATTTGTTTTCTGAAGATGCATTTAAAAATGGGAGGAAAAAAACAACGGTAGCTCTCAGCTGAGTAGAAGAGACGCTCTTTAAACCTGATGACAGGGGAAGGAAGTAAAATGATGCGAAGGACAAACAAGTTACAGCCATATTTATATCAGATCTGCCTGGGACAAACTGCATCAGTGATGATAAAGACGAGGAGGAATGGAGATGCAGGGAACGGTTCACCAGGCGGTTATAATAATGCCGGACCTCGAGGTGCCTGACAGCATAGCCTGAGAGGCAGTCCCGGTGCGAAGCAGCCGGTGAAGGCAGCCTCAGAAGGTACTAGCCCCAGTCCGCGGGCAGGCGACCGACCCTCTGGCTCAGCTGCCCCATACTGAACATCGGGATGGTGTAGAACCTACCTCTTCCTGCTCCGGAGCATTAAATAAGTGAGTACACAGTATGTACAGCGTGTCTGTTTGATAAACGCTGGCATTTTTGCTGATGCTGTTATTAACGTGGTTAGTATTGTTGCCTCAAACCACACAAAGAAAAAAGAAATTAACAGAATCCCAAGGAAAATTTGACACGTCAACAATCTTACTAGGAGACTTTTCACTTGCTTCTCAAAGCAAGATAAATACGTTTTAAAGTGTTTGAGAGAGCTGTGCGAGAGTTGCCATAAAATATTTAAACAGGCTGCCTTATCTTTGAAATAATTCCAAAAAGTGTAAATAAAACACTCAAAACTCAAAATAGACAGTAAAAGTTAAGTGAAAAACAACAACCAGAGATGAAAAAATAAGATGACAGACGTGAAACTAGTTATAGACATAAATGGGTATGACAATGTATTTAAAAAGCCTTGGAACACATTAAGTTATAACGTCAATGCTTTGCTATTTATGAAAGACATATAAAATGCCAGCATGAGCAAAAAGGAAGAGGATTAGTAAAACATATGAAAAACATAAATAGCAATGTAGTACACAGGACACTTTTATTATGAAGGTAAAATTAAAGATAACCTTGTTACTAGTTATATATATTGGGAGCTGAATAATGTAGCAATACATTTTTTTAAAAATTGTACAAAATCATATTCTATAACATTTTCAAATGTCCCTGAGAAAATGGGTATTGGGCATATATTCTGTCAAGTTTTACTGTGAGTAAAGTTAATGTCATGAATATGCAGGAATGTGGAATAAAATTGATGTCTGTACCTACTCCACGTGGGGTTCATTTTCCACGCCCCACCTCCAGGGGCCAGGTGAACCTTGGGTCAGGGTGGCGGGGAGGGTCCAGGTCGTGAGCAAGCTGGAGACAGTCCTCCCGCTTGGGGACTGGAGAACTTCTGATTAACTGAGACTCACAGCAGACAACCCAGGAGCAGGCAGGCAAGTGGCTGGAGACTCCAGAACCTTCCAGCTGAGAGGGCACTCGGGGTATAACCAGCTGCTAATGCAAAGGGACCTTCTCTAAGGTGCTGATGGCTCCTCGCTAGTTAGAAGGTGATAATTAGGCACCGGGGACACCCACAAGGACTTGGAAACGAGGAAGCGCTGCCCCGGTTCCTGGGGACGCTGTGTCCTTTGCTCTGGGCGGGGGTTGCAGCCGCAGTCTGAGTCTGCGGGCTTCTTCCCTCCGTGACATCAGTGTCACGTCTGTCACCTGGCGGGTGGTAAGTCAGGTCCTGAGTAGATACTCCAGGGAGGACGCGGCCAGAGCAGAGCCCCCACGTGTGAACATATCCCAGCGCTTCCCCCAGCTCTGTGGTTGTAGTTTCATTGCCCACTTCCTGTCGGGGCTGGTACTGTTGCGAAGGTCAGGCAGGAGGCGTGGAGGCCTGGGGTGGGTCAGGGGTGGGTCTG